TCATGATTTAACCTATTCATGTTAGCAAGGTAGAAATTGTAACTCTATTGCTGCAATGTAGTGGAGGTGTGTGCTGTGTATATGTACTACATATACAGTACACACTTCCAGTACATTGTAGTAATAGATTTACAGCCAGCCTTGTCCCAGCTTCCCTCACTCACATTTAACTCCGATCCCTGTTGCCTCACGCTGTGTCTCTCGTATTCGGCTCTGGGCAGGATTGCTGCATCGCGTCTCGGTGCTCAGCTTGTGGGAGGCGCTCACAACTCTGCCCTGCTAACATGAATAGGTTAAATCATGATCCATAGTACATATACAGCATACACGTCCAGTACACTGCAGTCCGCAGCAATAGAATTACAGTTCTCCCCTGCTAACATGAATAGGTTAAATGATCCATAGCACAACTACATATTATGTACTATGGATCTTTTAATCTATTTATATTAGCAGGGGAGAATTGTAAATATATTGCTGCAGTGTACTGGACTTGTGTAACGTACATGTACTATGTACTACATATAAAGTACACTGCAGCAATAGATTTACAATTATCCCCTGCTAACATGAATAGGTTAAAAGATCCATAGTACATAATATGTAGTTGTGCTATGGATCATTTACCCTATTCATGTTAGCAGGGGATAATTGTAAATCTATTGCTGCAGTGTACTCTATATGTAGTACATATAGAACACACACTGCAGACAATAGATTTACACTTATCCTCTGCTAATATTAATAGGTTCTTAATAGGGACCCCAGGCCCTCACTTACTGCTCGATGATGGCTGGTGCCTCATGATGTGCCTCGCTGGTGAGGACTTAGTCGGCGCTGTGCGAGTCAGCGCTGGTCCGGTGGCAGGAGCTCCAGGTGGGGTTATAATTTAGCTGGCCAGCAACTGCCCAGAGGTGCCACGTGTGTCGGGGTCCTCTGGGCAGTTGCCGGCCAGCTAAATTAGGACCCCACCTGGAGCTCCTCCCACCGGGCCAGTGCTGATTTGCCACTGCTCTCCCGCACAGCAGCCTGAAGGTAAAGAAAGAGGAAAAAAATTGTGCAAGCATCGGCGCTATGTATCGGGGCATTTTGACAAGTACTTGTCAAAATGCCCTATATCGGTCCCGATACCGATGCTAGTATTGGTATCGGGACATCCCTAATTGTAAGTAAATTAATCAGCATTTGAAATATCTTCTAAACCTTTTGACTTTTTAATATCACTTTTGACTCATCCTGGGCCCGTGGCATGCTGAGATTGCACACAAAGCTATGCATGTAAGGCCCAGTGAACATTCTAAATACACTTGTTAGGAAGCCAGATGAGAAACATTTATTGAAGAAGAGACATACATAGTCTCATAACAAATCTCTCTTCTGCAATAATAGCCTTATTTAGTATTTTTACACTATAGATCCACTTTGAGTTAATAACTGGAACTTCCTTAATCCCTGCAATCCATTGCCTGGGTTATATTCTCTATACAGGAGGGGATGTGCAGCAGTTAAGATGTACCATTTTCCAGTCTGATCGTGTCTCCATTACTGCCCGTGCCTTTGCTTACTCACCTGTAACACAGCCATAATTGTTAGTTTCTCCTGCCTGTGCATTGGACGCGGAACAGGGAGCTCGCGCTGCCAGGAGCGAGCGCCAGACGTGCGTATTCATGAGCACATCTGAAGGAGAACTGTGCCGCACTTCCTGCGCAAAAGCCTTTTCTATAATCATGTAAGATGCCTGCGAGACAATTTGACAGAGGCTACATCCGATGCATATTCATTTCTCACCACTTACCATCCACATTGCTTGACAAGCCGGCAGAAAGTTGTGACACCTTACATCAGATCTTTAGCCCACTGTGCATTTTTATTGTCCTGGATAAGATGTATATCATTGGCTTTGCTTTTGGACCCCCTTTTAAAATCATTCTGGTCCATTTTAAACTGCAGGTGGCCTCAAAATGTAAACTGGATCCCTGTGTAAGCATTATTCATTCCTGAGGGGTAGGGCTGCATTGGTTTCTATGAACGGGTGTTTAAGACAGATCATTTCTTTGGCGCAGGGTTTTCTGTGACAGTAATTTGTCGAATTGTAAATAGACGCATTATATATTTGGCATGATAGTTTGATCGCTGCTGCTACCACCGTCATAATATAGTATTTATGGCTGTGATTAGATAAATTTTGCCTGAGGTTTAAGGTTAGCATTGGGGTTAGGTTGAGGTGTAGGGTTAGGTTAAGGTTAAACCGATATCGCCAAAACCTGGGGCCCAATAAAAAGTAAACAGTAACCAGAACTGACATTATCATGTGCTGATTGGCCTCCTTATTGACCATTAAAGGTAACAAGTAGCCTTACTGACCCAATAGGCATTTTAAAGGGGGTTAGTCTGAGGAGACAGGGCAGAGCGTGAGTAAATAGGTTGGTGAGCACTGTACTAATGTGAACGGGCCCTCAAAAACACTGACAGATACACAACCACAGACACTGCCTCACACACTCAGAGACACTCTCACACACATACACACTCCATGTACAGGGAGCTTGTACAGCTCCCTTGCGTGCCCTGCAGAGGTTCAGGGAGCCAAAATGTGCCGTCACTCCGGTCCAGGCACCTCTATAGGACACCTGAGGAGCTGTAAGCAATGCACGTATGGATGGAGCTCCCCCGCGGCCATAGCCCCCATCCCACCCCCCCCTTAAACTGACACTCGGCGCCTCGAAGCATATTTTGAATGGCTGCTTAGTGTGAGACCTGACAGTGCTGCGCTAGAGGGAGGCTAAGGAGCCTCTCACCTAGAAAAGTGGAAAGCATGCGGTGACCCACTGTACACTGGGTCGCGACCCACTTTGGGGTCACGACCCACCAGTTGAGAACTAAGGGTATAGACTGAAGAGTGCTGCTGTCGGCACCCTGTTATCCGGCATCCATCAATCGGCTGATCGAAGGATCCAGTTAGAAAACTCTAGTGCAAACGGAGCTAGCAGCCAATCCGCAGACAGGAAGGGATTGGTCCATCAACGCTCGTATACGTAATGGAGAAATCTGATCTATTTTTTACGTTCAGCCCGCAGATTGAATGGAAAAAAAAAATGGAAATATGTATACCTTAATTTAGGTGGTGGTGGCGGCAGGGGTGAAGTTACCTACTTATCCAGATGTGATCAGTTTATACCACATGGTGCAAGTTATTTGAACAAAAATTTGTGAACTGAAATTTCTGGCGCCAAAACTCCAGCACCATAACGAGCCAATTTTCAGAAAACAAAAAATTTACATACCATATGCTTTGTGAAGGTGTTGAAATCCTTTCCTAAATTAAATTGTATGGCATTAAAAGGCATAAATAAAAAGTTGCATGTATTTTTGAGCTTCCTTATTATTAAAGATGCATAATGTTTCCTGCTGCAGCACTGAGAAACTGTACAAATGTGCATTGGCCCTTAAATCAATCCTGCAGTTATCCTAGACCTGATTATATCCAAGCTGCTTTTCAGCCAGGATGCTGATTAACTGTCTGGGAAGATCTGCATGTATGCAACTCACAGCAAAAGCTACACTTGGTAAAACATGTAGTAGTATTAAACTCTCAAACCTTGGTTTAATAATGAGTCCAGATCAAACAAATATACATCGCCCAGCAAAGTATTTTGTTACATTTTTGGCCAAACACCTACAGTCATCATGTTTCTGAACAGCTCCTACTCCCTCAGCTTGGCCTGTCCAGTCCTGAACTTCCTGTCCAGTACAAGATCACAAGGGACAGAGCAGTCTTCGGCAACTGTTCATCCATTAGAAAGGAGGAGGGAGGAGCAGGGGAGTGCCTTGCTGTATCTGTGTATTTGTGGAGTCATGTAGGGGATCCAAACCGCAATCCTGACTCCGAAAATGCCCCAATGCTGAAATGTGTAATGACAGCGGATGGCGCCGCTGGATCAGGTAAACAAAACAGTTACCAGCGCTCCAAATGTTCTCCAAGCAAAGTACTTTTTATTCCATGTGTAAAGCTACGCTTCGTGATGTGATTCTGCAGGAAGCTAGAACTTTCAAACATCAAGGAGCAGCATCCATTGTAAGTGATTTTCAGTGCAATGTAACACAGCGGATCCGGAGGGAACTAGCCCCATTCACACCCATTCATTTTTCGGTGCTCTTCTGTTAGCATCCATTGAAAAACTGATCGCAACACAACGGACAGGAAGGAAATTGGATGGTACAATTGCAAGTCAACGGACCCTCCATCAACTTGTGATATTTTAAGTTGCCCATAAATTGGTAGATTTTCATACATTCATACAAAAAAATCTCATCAGAACATTTGAAAGCCCCACCAGAGACTAAAGTCGTTTGAAATTTTGTTTGATTTTAACATTGAGTTTTGGAAATGAATGGAGCTTCCCGAGCGAAAACCACATTCGCTGCTATAATTTTGTTCCTTTGAGAAAAAATTTCCATTCCCCCTTTTTTTTTTTTTTTTTACTACAGTCACAATCGATAGTTTATTTGACCCCATTCATTTTTTTGAAAATTGAATGAACATCCTAAAGACAAATTTATTTTAACAAAATTTTCCTGATGTATGGCCATCTTTAGAGAAACAGTTTCTGCTGAAAAAAATACAGTGGGAGAAACTAGTGAGGGAAATTTGGGGGCTGCTATTCATGACTTCCTCATGAGAAAGCTAGTTGTCCGGGTAATAGCTTTAGAACATTGAGTCACTGACCTGGAATAAGCTTTCAGAACAGAAGTAAATCCATACCATCTTATCCACATACTTGTTTGGTATTCCTGACTCAGTAATAAAGCAAGCGGATCAGCTTGACAGCTAGGCTACTGACAACTTTAGCAGCCGCCATGTTACGCTAGGAAATGTTTTTGGTGCCTATATGCATTCGGCCAAATGATCAGCGCTGCAAAACCTGCACCAAAGTCAGATAATGTGCAGTAAACATGTGACCGTGCCGTGTACTGAGGATCTGTCTCTTTTTTTTCCATAGTGAGAAAAGATTCCTGTGGACTTGATGACCTGACCGTCACTAGCCAGTCTGAATGTGGAGGTGAGCCAGAACACAGCAAAGCAAATGTTTTATCCATTTATATCTTACTATGCGGAATGATGTGGTTTACAAGTTATCCTTATTGTAACATAAAGATATAAAACATCACCTTTTTAAAATAAAATTAAAGTAAACTAAGGATTTAAATCTTAAAAATGCATTCAAGTACCTTTACTATATCACTCAGCTGTAGATCCTCAAATCATCTCTGAATTGGTGCTGACACTGTCCTTCCTTCTGGAGGGTGACTACTTTTGTTTCCCATGGTCCCTGTGTGTGTTGTAAAGTAGTCACCGCACCAAACTCGCTCCCGTGATGGACTATAATCTCAATACAAATGAGTAAACTAGACATGAGATTGTAGTCCATCACGGGAGTGATCTTGGAGTGGTGGCTACTTTTCAACACACACAGGGACCATGGGGAACAAAAGGAAGGACAGTGTCACTTTAAGGCAGTCCATTAAACTGAATAAGGTGCCAACACACTCTAATCTGCCCAAAATCATACACAGCCTATTTTTTTTTGTTTCTTTATTTCCTTATTTTACATATACCTCGTTAGGGCTGCAACAACTAATCGACATAATCGATTATTGAAAAAGTTGTCAACTTTTTCATTCATCGATTAATCGGCTTTTGATTATTTGCCCCGTCCACAGCTCCACACACGTTGCCAGACCCACCCGCATCCACGCTACACACGCCGCACCTCCTCCCTGCCTCACGCTCACCGCCCGCCCACATCCACGATCGGCACAGGGGTGCAGGGAGAAGTAGTAAGGAGGAGAAGGTGTGTAGGGGGGGAGGGGATGACAGCGGCAGATAGACAGGCCCGATCTCAGAAACAAGTTGCTGGAAGACTGCTCAGGTAAGCCTGCACTTTCCCACACATGCTCTATAATGTACTGTTATACAGTATAATGTACTGTATAATGTAATGTTTCCCACACACGTGCTCTATAATGTATTGCTGGGATTTGTATTCCTTTATAGCTGATGGTACATTGTGCTGTACTGTATATTATACAGAGCAATGTACCATCAGCTATAGAGGAATACATTATACACTGTATGTATAATGTATTGCTGGGATTTGTTGTATTTCTATATAGCTGGTGGTATTCTGCATTGCGCTGTATAGAGGACTACAAATCCCAGCAATAATACATTATACAGCGCAATGCGGAATACCACCAGCTATAAAGGACTACAACAAATCCCAGCAATAATAAATATACACCACAATGCCGAACACCACCAGCTATAGAGGACTACAAAACCCAGCAATAGTACATTATACAGCGCAATGCAGAATACCGCCAGCTATAATGCATTATTGCTGGGTTTTGTAGTCCTCTATAGCCGGTGCCATTCTGCATTCATTCAATTTTACACTTTTAATTTCACTATATTGCACACCACACTTTTTTTTTTAACTTTCACGGCTCCAGGCTTGCTCCTGTGATGGACTACAATCGCAATACAAACTAGCAGTCCCATCACTGGAGCCATTTTTTAAAATGTATTTTATTTTTTTTCCGATTAACCGATTAATTGAACTTAATAATCGGCTAACTAATCGATTTCGAAAATAATCGTTAGCTGCAGCTCTATACCTCGTACAAGAATAAGTGTACAGCATGTTTCACAGCACAATATTGCAGGTAAGGTAAGACGTCTCACAGTTAACTACTGATCCAGTAGCCAGGGCTGCATATATTGCTTATAAAACATGTGGCCAGTCAGTCTGAGCGAACAAGAAGAGGTAGGTGCTCATTTTTAGTTCACCTCAAGTTGTGCTGGCAAAGCAAAACCCTGAAAGCGAACTCCCGTCGTGTATAAATATGACCTACCTGTCTTCGCTTTGGAGTGCCATTTACAGTGAATGGCACTACAAGACATGTAACCTGTGTTTCTGCTCGTGTTACTGCAATGCTGTAGTGTTAAATGGGCCCTAAATTAGTCAATTCAATTAATGTATTCATTAAAGAATGTGGCCAAATACCTAGGGATAGTAAAACAACCCAAAAAATAAGGTGCCAACACACTCTAATGTGCCGCGAGGGAAGCCGGCTTCCCTACCAATCAGCATGAAGCCGTTCCCGGCTAATTAGGAAGCCGGTTGGAGGGTAATGACATCCCGTCTGGCTTCTTGATTGCATGGGAATCCAGCTCCATGCTAACGGAAGTACCAGTATCGGTACTCGATATCTGCGAGTACCGAAAGATAAATCTCGGTACTCGATACTGAAAAAACGGTATCGGTGCATCCCTTATATAGTAAATAGGTCAACTAGGGATGCACCGATACCGTTTTTTTGGTATCGAGTACGAGCACCAATATTTTTTTTTTCTGGTACTCGCCGATACAGAATACCGATACCGGAAGTCCCATTCAGGAAGCCAGTCGGCATGTCATGACTTGCCAACTGGCTTCCTGATTAGCCGGGAAACCAGGCGGCGTGTAAAGACTTGCCACCCGGCTTCCCAAGTAGCAGGGAAGCCGTCTCCATGCTTCTCCATGAGAAAACATGCATGGGGTCAGTTGAGGAAATTGTTACATCATCTGCATATAATCATATTTTATACTCTGTAATGAACTGAGATTTTTTAAATTTTTTTTTTTTACCATTCTCTTCTCTAGGCCTCTCAAGTGACAGTGACCTGATCTCACTGACCGTGGACATAGACTCTCTCTCTGGCACGGATGATGGAATGGCCTCCAATCAGATTTCACCCAGTAAAACGTTTAGCGTGCCGCCCTCCCCGGGATCCCTAGCACAGAGCTTCTCTGCCTCCAGTTATGACGGGGTTAAGGCTGAAGTGGAAAAAGAGGGCCGCAGCTTGTTCACCACCAAACTAAAGCAGAAGCTGGGCCGATCAGATTACCTAATGAAAGCCGGGGAACTGATAACATTGGCCATGAAAAAGGAGGCGGAGCAGGACTATGAATCGGCATTCGGCTTTTACAGGAAAGGAGTAGACCTCCTCTTAGAAGGTGTACAAGGTGATTACTTTTTTTGTAGCCTACAAAGGGAAATTCAAGGTTTTACAATGATGGTTTCAGACTACAGAAATACTATAACATATATATTCTCTACTAAATACATAAAATGAGATAAAAGATTAATTACACACCAGGGATCCATATGTTATTGTTCTCTGTAGCCTTAGATCTAACCTTGCTTGAAACTGGCCAACTGTGGCCTTGGTGATCTACTTTTGGACTTATATTTTGTATAGCTGCAGATCGGAAGAAAGCATGAAGTGCTCCAAAATCTCCTGTTAGACGGCTAAGTTGCATTAGTGAAATAAATGAACTTTTGCACGATATTCTAACTTTTTGAGTTTCACCTGTATATTCCTGACCAGAACTTTGACTGCAGTTTGGGAAATATCACAGCTCATGATTTTTGCTGCTAAACAGCCAGCCATTTCCAGAAATGAGTTTAGAGGTAGAAGCAGACCGAACACTATAGCATGCTAAAGCAAATCATATCTTACAATTGCAGCATTGCTTACATCTTTAAGAGGACCTGAAGGGTGGAAGCTGTGCTCACAAAAGGCAAGTGGAGAGCAAAGACCTAGTCATCAGTATTTCCTCTGGTATCCCTGAGCTGATTTTTTCCCATTACTGACTTTCCATGCCTTGTCCTGCACTGTGTCTCTGTGTAGGGTCAGCCATCTTGGTAGACAAATAGGGCTTTGCTTCCTCATTTTATTGCTGTCCCCCCTAATTATTGGCGATCTAATGACTGATGGGGGAATATTCAAAAAGCAGCAGGGGAGGTGCAGAAAGCACAGATCCACAGCAATGAAGTAAAAGCAGGGATATTCTTATATTGCAGGTCCTCAGGTGCACCTTCTTTTTCCCAGGAGTGACCTAATTTCTCTCCCAGAGCAGAAATTCCTATCACTAAAGATAGACAGCAATTAGGCTGTAGAAACATTATTGCCTAGACACATAGAGTGCTCCATTAGCAGGAGGAATTCAAAAGGTACATTTTCAGGGTACTGCTAAGGCCCAGTCTCGGGTCAACGTAAGGAAACCATTATTATTATTATTATTATACAGGATTGATATAGCGCCAACAGTTTGCACAGCACTTTACAATATAAGGAAGACATTACAATCACAATACAATTCAAGACTAGATGGTAAGGACTACCGTGAGGGCTTACAATCTACCATCCTTGTTTTATTGATTGTATGTAATAATCTACTTTTTTGAGGTTGTGGATTTGGGGTTCTTGGGGTTTTCATGAGCTGTAAGCCATAATCATCACAATTATGACAAATCACGGCTTGAATTATCTTGCTTTGCATGTAATGAGTCTATCTCATATATTAGTTTCACCTTTTAAGTTGCATTAGTGAAATAAATGAACTTTGCACGATATTCTAATTATTCGAGTTTCACCTGTAAATGAGAAACCAGGGATGTTCCTGTCAGGAACATCCATGGATCTGAACCCAGGGCCTCTGCTGTAGCTGGCTGTGGTTCTACCTGCTGAGCCACCTAAGAACCTTGGATAGCTCCTTGCCTGATCTCCTGTGTATCCTCAGTTACACCTAATCAGCTGCTGAACTCCTTGCTCCTCCCTTGACCTTCCTATTTAAGCCATGCCTCTGCACTTCCTCTTTGCCAGATTATTGAGCTCCTGCCTTGATCTTGCTTCCTGCTCCCTCTGCTACAATCTACTCATACTCCTTCCCGTGTACCGACCCTTGGGTGCTGATTCACCGACTATTCTCTCCGTCTCCTGCTACATACCTGATACCTTTTGGCTCCTGACCTTGGCTTATTCACTGACTACGCTTCTGCCTGCTCCTCCACCACTAACCTCTGCTTGTGTACCAAACCCGGCCTGTTATAGTACGAATTGCCTGCTGGACTCTGAGCCTGATCCCAGATCGTGACAGCACCGCAATTTCGGCCGAAGGTTGGCACTTTAGGCATTTTCAGGCCAATATGTTTTGGAGGCCGAAATTTTTGTGCATCCCTAATATTTAGTATATGTAATGTTATAGAAGACTGTGTCATAGACTTGGGAGAGAGTACAGGAGATGGTCAAAGAGTGTGGGTGTGCTACAATTGTGATTGGAGAAGACAGTCAAAAAGGACGATGTACAAGTGACTGCTAGAGGTTACTAGATCCTTGGACCTCAGGACCGCACATGATGTATCAAAGGGCCGAAGGTTAGACATAGGGGATCACTATCACAAACACTGGCACACAAGCACCCTGAGGCCGATGGACGCAGATTGAGGCTGATCTGGGAGGAAGCTGTTTATCTTGCCAATATATTTTTGGGTTGTTGGGGGAAAGTGAGGTCTCTAGAAAAAACCCACATGAACACTGGGAGAACATAGATGTTCCATACAGACAGAGCCCTAATAGAACACAGTGAGGTGGAATATGAACTCTGGCACCACAGTACATGAGCGCTAGGCACTATATCACCATTCCCTTGCACAGTTTCTGTGGACAAAGCCATACAGTACAGTGCTCTTCCTTTTGATGTATAACTATGCAGCCCATTGCGCCATTGAAAAGGACTGTTTATATTGAGCGTTAAAGGCTGTTATTTGCATGATCGAGACTACCCAAACATTTCTATAGGCTGCATTGTGTGAAGGGCTGCACAATTAATTAGTGTTCTCTCGCTGTACACCGTTCCCCGGAGATAAGCACCGAGGCGTGTTATTGGTGTTTTTTTTGAAGCTAAGGAGTAATTTCTCGTCTGCCTGGAAATGTGTGTTAAGTTTGGCTTTACAGGTAATTAAGTAGCTTTTTGAGTTTATGTTCTGTTTTCCCCACCAGCAACAAGGCGTCCAAAATAAGCACTTGCACAGCACGGCCGCCACGCCATCATTTGCTTAAAAAGAGTTATAATTACAGTTGACGAGGCATGGACACCATAAAAATGCATTAGTTAGGCTTGACATGTTAATTACCTGTTTTTGCAGATGTTTTTATGTATTGTTATGCGAACAGTTTACAAAATAATTACAGGAAAGTCAAATGGAAAATAAACGGAGAGGGAGGCTTTTTCGCTTAAATATTTTCATTCATGTGAATCTGGATTAGGCGCAGCTGCTGATCTCCCCTGTAAAAGCAGGGAATCTCGAAGAGTTTATATTAAGGGTATTTTTTTTTTATCTCTCGTGTGCGGCGCTGCATTTTTATAAGTGTCGCACAAACATTTTAACATAAACATAGATTCCGATTGCAGAGAGAATTTTTCAGGATCGTTTTGTTGAAAATAAGCAAAGGCTTTTCAGATTGTGATCTAAGAAGCTTGTTTCACGTAAGTGTATTCTTAGGGGTGCGAGGATTTAATTTCTTCTTTCTTTTCTCTTTGCATTTTTTTTTGTTTAAAAATGATAAAAAAAATATTGTAGCCCAAAACGGTAGTCCAAAGCAGTACAGAGAACAATACCAGATCTCCTGTAATATTGAATACCTATCAAATGAAGTCAACCACTTATGGGGGGGAAGGAGATCATTATTATGTTAGTGGGTCTCAAATGGTTTATGAGCCATTCCTGTGAAGCTTGGTGTGAATGCTAGTATGGCCTGCAAGGCTTTTTTTCATTTGGAAGCTTTATTTTGCTTTTTAGTTGAAGCATTATTCAACCCCTCAAAAATTATATTTTTCAGCTTACCAGCGCTCTAATTTAGGTAAGATTACTAATCCCATCAGCCTCCATTTAATGGAGATAAACAAAGGCATACATATTAGTAGATGGCTGCATTCAATTTCATTTTTCAGGCTAACATTTTCAGCAAGTACTGAGAAATACTTATTGATCTTCTCAAAAATTCCCTGTCCTTTTTAAAACAATTTTCCTTCCAAGCTGTGTTAAACTACTAATTCCCCTGCCCCCGATTTAGTGGAGATAAAGACAGGAAGGCGTGTTTGTACTCATTTCCAAGTGTGAAAACCATAGCTCCCTCCATAGATACATTAGATAAGTTAGCATAGTCACCAGGGATAGGAAGCATTATGCACAGTATTACCAGGTGAAAATAAAAAGACAAGTCTGAAAATGTATAACTTTAAAGTATTTCTTCTCTCCAAAAAAAACAAACCATATGCTCCTAGCCCGCAATCTAATCTAAAATGTGAACCCCACCGAGCAAGTTTTTAATTACTTGTTTTGCTACTCATAGCAAATCATTTCATTTGGAGGCTATAAGAGCCTTGCAGCACTAATGCAAAAAGTGTGTGGACCTTCAAGGGAACTGTATACAAAAAATTAGCCCTCAGAACTATGTGTTCATAGTGTGAATGAGAATTTAATTTGGAAAGTTTTTTTTAATTGATTTTTAGGAAGACAAGGAAAAGACAACCAAACTCTGGGAACTCTCTCAGACCCATAAAGCGAAACATAGTAGGAAGGGCGAAGGTAAACCAGAGTCGAAGGCACTCTGCGAATCATGTTCTCATTTACAAGAACTGTAACATCATTATCATGTATGAGGGACCAGAAACAAATACAATGTAGTATCAAAGAGAAGTCTATAATGCTGGGTATTCAGAAAAGTCGCCCACGATCGTTCGGGTCCCAGAGGGATAACAAGCCAACAGAACAGAAAAAGAGACTAGAAAGGGAGAAATGAAGGAATAGAAAGACATAACAAGAAGAGAAAGTAGAGGATGCTCCAGAGGATGCAACCCACCACCCCACATAAGGAGATGATTAACATAAGTCAAAAAACATCAGTCACGCCTGTATAATGTAGGTGTATGAGAATTTAAAGAACAGTCCTCGTAGAAATGTTACCTGCAAAAACTAAATCTATTGCACATGAAAGCTCAAAATATAAGCAAAACCAAAAATGTGAAGACAACATGGCTTTATATAAAAAAAACTGCCCATCCAGGTGCTTGCTTACCTCTCAGTCATGGGGGCAGCATCTTCTGATGTTTACATCTTTGGGCCCCAAAGCTTCTCCAGCACTGGCTGTACTTGAGCAGTAACTCTCCAAAGATATCGG